TAAGCGATGGATGGTATCATACTGTCTTTGAATATACTTTCAAAGGATTCCATATATTCTTTTTTTAGAGAGCAAAATCACCAGCTAACAAGCCAAAAAATTTCTCATATGTCCTTTGTTGGGCACAGCAATCAAGTATCATGTTGCAGAGTTCTTTTGTTTGGCTTTCAGGAAACTCCATTTTCAGCAATTTATGAGCACATTCTTCAAAATCTAAACTTGATTGAATAGCAAGATAAATTGTTTGATGAAATGAGACTAGATTGATTTCTGTTTTGTCATGAATAGTCACTTTTTGTCCTTCTTCATCTTCTTCTCCCTCTTCCTCTTCTTTCTCCTCTTCCTCTTCACTACTTCCAGCATCTTGGTCTGTGTTTGAGTCACTGTCTCCTTCATCAAGAATTTCCTTCTTAATAGCTTTGTACTTCTCTTCATTCTCCATAAAGTTAGCATCCATCTTGAAAACATTAAGAACATCTTCTGGATTGTAGTCATCCTCCAAAGGGAGCATATGAGTGAACTGATCATCTTCTTCCACTAAGTCAAGTCCTTCTAGAATAATGGGGTGGTCCTTGAATCCATCCTTCTGTACAGCAAACATCACTTCAATCATATACTGAACTCTTTTGTCAATTTCAGACTCATGCAGAATGTTTCGAAGGCGTTCAAATATAGTGTTAATTCCTCTTGATGACACATGTTAATTTGAGACCACATTCCTTGAGAAAACCAATTGCAACTTCAACACTATCATCTGTTGGTCTTTCCAGGAGCAAAGTGAGCATCTCTAAGCATAAAACTTCATGTGCCACATTTTGGTTAATAAGATGTGCCACAAATTTTGAAGCAGTCAGACAAAGTTGCTTATCATTTCTTTGATAGCCTTGTCGAAAATTAAGAATTAGCCTCTTGAGTATTAATTCTCCAATTTGTGGAAATTTTGAGTTGATAATTGCCACTAATGCTGCATAAACATGGGTGAAGATTGGAGAAGCACTCTGTGCTTGCAAAACAGATCTGGAAAGCAGTCCTCTTCCTCTAACTATATTTTCTTGAAGAAGCTCTTGAATAATGATACTTATATTGGAAATGTTGACTTTGTTGATAAGGCCATTGGTTGACTTCTTTAGGGCTTCCCAGCTCATCCTCTGGTATGTTAAACTGTTTTTATCTGTAATCTGTTCTTGCATCATCCTGAGCTTTGCAGGGGGATTATATGCTCCAACAGTACGAGTAAGAAGAGGATCCAGCTCATCTTTCTTCTTCTTTGCAGTAGGTTCATCCTGAGCAGAGGAATTCTGGGGTACTGATGGGTCTGGGCTTCTTCTCCCAGGAGATGGGGATTTCCGGGATCTTTTCCAATCCATATCTCTTTCTCTTTCTCTGCGTTTTTCCCGGTCCCTACTTCGTGACTCCATGTTGCTATCATAAGAATGTCCTCTTCTGGAATGCTCGTAATCTGACCTATTGTAATCTAAGTTGGGTCCCACTTGCCGGAGACCAGCTCCAGCCAGGTTCAGGGTACCCCAAAGGTGGAGACGGTGTCGGTGATTGGGGGGAAGAAGAGAGAAAGAAAGAGACTGGACTCCAGTCTAGTGCAGAAGCGAATGAGTGTTATTGGGAATTACAACAGGTCTTTTATACAAAATGTCAGATGTGGGAGGGGTGTCCCCCACCCACCAAAAAGCTTAATCCATGACAACTTAATCAATGATTGCCTTTAAATCCTTTTCATATGATAATTTTAAAATCCCATAACAAAGGATAACCTAATCTGTGACTGACATATTCTATAAACCTTTTTCATCCTAAGCTGATTGATTTATGCCAAGTTAAACAATTCTATAGAAGCTTAAGTATTTAATTTACAAACAAAAGTGGCCCATCCCAGAATGTTTGGAATGTGGCCCAGTCCAAAGTTCACAGAGGGCTACCTGCAAGTAACCCAGCCGCATTCTTTCAACAAAATGGCTGTCTTCTAAAACTATATTCTACAATTTACACCTCAATAAATCCTAAGATCATGACCCAGAAGCCTGTGACCAATACTAAGGCTCTTAGATGTGACATGAGTTTGAATTATAAGTTGTGTGAAAGCCAGAACTGCAGTTTGCGGAAGAATGGGAGCAATGAGCTTCCAAAGTTAGCTTGTGTTCATCCCGGTCTCAGAGCTTTTATGTTTTGAGCTCACAGGAGCTTAATCTGGTTAGTGCTGAGTAGGAAGGGGGAGGAAATGGGGTCAATAGCTCCTGAAGGCATCCTAGTGGTCTCGGGATCAACAGCCCTTCCTGATCCCTAACACTCAGTGGACATCCGTGGCCGGCTCCCAACACATTGGTTTAAAACAATTATGGTTCTATTTAGTTAAATATTATGTTTTTTTTATTTAAAGAAGAGGACATTAGATTGCTTTGTCCTACATAAGATCTAAGATAAATTTGGCCTATCTTTTTTCACAAATAATTTTTTTCTTCTTTTCAATCTAGGGCATAGCTTTAAGATATAAATTGGTGTCTCTGCATACCAATATATGACAACAACACTGGCTACTGTTAGGCTAGACTAAGGAGTTGAAAACAAAAATTGTTATTTTCCCTTATAAATGTAAGTTATACATTCCAGTGAGACCTTATGAGAAATGAGATGAAGAATAAAATAAAATCAACATTTGTAAGGAATCTAATATCCCCCAACTTCCCACTAGATTATTTACATGATATTTTATTTTGCTAATGATGTTCTATAAAAATGAGAATCATTCTAAATTATGGAGCAGGTGAACTTAAGGCATGTTATGTTCATTGTTGGTATTTCACATCTCTTACCTTCATTTTAGTTACAAACAAGTACTTAGGAATATACATATTTTATCTTATTTTCTTCCTCCCATATAAAACATGCACAGAGTAACAGCCATTATCATAGGCTTAATATTTTTCTTTCAACATGTCTCATACATATATGTTTCATTGTATTTACAGAATATAATTCTACTTAACAAAATTGCTGCATGAAAATGCAAAGAAAATTTTTAGATACTTGCCTGAAATCCAAGGAGCTTTTCACTTGGTTTAATGTGCCTCTGAAATTCACATTCTATGGGCTGTATCACTTTGATTCCATCTTCATAAAAAACATAGAACATGTTCCCAATTCCCAGACCTTAGAAAAAAAATACACATTCAAAAATTCAAAATAAAATTATCATAAACCTTTACAACCAAAACTTAGTGCTCCTCATATCCATAGGAGATCAATTTGTGACATTGTGTCATGTTAATAAAGCAAACAGTATGAGACCCTTACTGTACACGAGTCAGTTCATAACATCATGAATGATCAGGATCATTCTTCCTGATCTGCACTTCAGGGGTGTCTTTGATATAATTCAATAAGTGTTTTATATTTTAAAGATAATTATTAAAAGGAATAATATACTATTTACTACATAATTTATTTTGGATTTTGTCCCCACTTAATATAGGTGTTGACAAGAAATAAAAGTACTTTTAGCAGTTGTCAGCTGTTATTTATTATTATAGTTGCATAAAAAGGGATACAAATTTATGCACAAAGAATAAGACTTTAAAAAGCACATAAGTATTAATGCAAAGAAAATTTAATTTGTATCAGCAGAGCCTCTATATAAAGAGTAACATAGATTGATGTATGTTATATATCAATAACTATCAACTTAACAGTATTGGCTCTTGAATATTGTTGTTGAATCTTATGAATATAACCAAGCCATAAAGTGATGTCTGATTTTCATGTGCATTAGTTATGTGGTTTGCTTGATGTTTATTATTAAGTTCTTAATGTTTTTGAATGAACATGACTGCCTTCCTTAAACTGCACCAAAATACTGCTCTACAATCATGAATTTGAATGTGTTTGAACCTGACACCTACTCTGAGTCCGGATTGTTTGCATTTTCTTGAAATATTTTCTTCTTTACCCCATGCATACTTTTATTATGTTATTTTACCATATTTTACACACAAAAGAATCAGTGGGATTCCACAGTGATTTGTTGCACTGGTAAGATTTCTGAGTTGTATTTTTCTCTAAAAAACCACTTAATCCAACCAAATCACTCTTTCAAATCTGAGAGTCTATTTTCTTGCTTTTGAAAATATGAATTACATGTCAACACTTTTACAAAGCATAAACTACTTTCCAGGTTATAAGTTATACAAGAAATATAGATATTTATGTGAGTTTTAGTTTTTTTATTGATTGTTTTCAATGAAATAATATAACTGGTGTTTATAAAATAGTAGTACCAACAAAATACTATATATCACTATATTAGGTAAAATAGTAATTATAAAATAAACGCTTATATATTGACATTCTGCTTTTGAAATGCAACTTAATTGATAATTTTAACACTCTTGGTGAACCCCTCCTCACTCACAAGAGATATTCTGCCTTTTTTTCTTGCAAGATATATTTTGTACCTCAAAAGTTTTACTTAGATTTTAGCAACAGACTATAATCTGAACCTATGACTCAGATGTGTTTCTCTTTAAATTTGCTGCTCTGATAGGGTAAATATATAAATTTATTAAGATTATACTCAGCACAGAGTACTATAAACTACCTGGTGATCAAGATGTTGGAAACTGAAGACATGCACATTTTCATTTAAAGTATTCATGAGCTTTATGTTTTAAAACAATACTGTTTATGTGTATATTTGTTCTAACTACCAAGTTTCTATAACTTACATTTTGAGAGGTTGTGGGGATGAGGGAATACGACAAAGACAGATGATAAACTCCACTCTTTGCAGTCAGACATCAGAGGCAAGTCATAGCTACGGCATTTAATCTTTTACCATGGGAATGTTAATTAGTCTGTGGCATAATTTCTCCGTAACAAATTTGGTGATAATAATTATACCATGCAGTTTTTGTCAGAATTAGATTAGGTAGAGAATATAAAATATTTAGCAGAGTGATTTTAGCACATAGATTTCAAGAAATGGTAGTTTAAAACTTTTATGGCAGACATCTCTCCTTTGAACACTACTGAAAAAAAGCAAATAGTGAAATATAACCAGAATTTGTTTACTGTCCTCATTTTTCCACAAAAATATTCTGAGATCTACTGCTAAACTTTAGTTTTTTCTGATATAAAATTGCAAGTACTGTTTACCCAGAATCATGAGTCTGAAGAAAGATAAACTTGATATTCTAGTAGAGCATTTCTCAAACTTGAACCCTGCAGGAAGTCTGCCATGTCAAAACTATTTTCATAATATTAAGATATAATTCACATTTTCTCTTGCATTCTCTAACAAATGCAGTATAGTTTTCAACAGGCTGCATAAAGTATGATGTCATGTGTGATATCGCAACAATTCAAAGCAGAAGCCTATATAGGAACCTAATGTCTTCTGTTAAGCCAGAACTTTAAAAGACTGGCAAAATGTAAAAACAATGTGAGACTCTTTTTCTGAAACTATAGTATTTTTTAAAAAGTGCTATTTATGACTGCATGTAATGGGCTTATTAGGCCAATTTTAACAAGTCAAATGCATATTTAAAAAATTTTCTGTTTTAATTTCTAATATCTAAACATTGGTAGTTAGAAATAACCCCTCTCTTCCCATCCTCCACGGCTCCTCCCCCCCACAAACCTCTTTCAGTTCTCAGTAACATTTAAGAATGTAAAGGAATCCTGAGTCTTAAAATGTTTGATTATCATGCAAGTTTCAATAACACTTCTCTCTTCATTAATGCCTTGTGCAGAAGTATATTACAAACATTATTGACTTCAGGGAAGCTTCCACCACTCTAGTCATAGTAAAGATTGGGAATTTATGCAGGCTGTTTTTTCCTTTTTTGTTCTCTAGTGAAGACAGACACATGTACTTTGTCTTTTCCAAGTTGATCGTTAATCTAATGGAGTATAATGACTCCACAAAGTCATCTATAACTTGTTCCTGTGGGCTTTCTTTTTGCTTTGTTTTCCTTTCTACACAGAAGGAAGACATAAGCAGAATTACTTGCAGTCTCATAAGATAGAAGAATTTCCCAGAAGATTTTCTAATCAATATTACACCTTTAAATACATGAAATGGACTGAGAAAGAAATGAATGAAAAAAAGAATTCGTGTCTCAATCCTTTGGGAATGAGAAGATGCTCCACAATAATAGCATACCATGAAATAGAACGATATTATTTACTATATAGCTTATATATTATATTATTGGTATTAACAATGAAATTTGGTTGATTTCTGATGATTCAGTGCACATTTAATTCAGTCACAAGAGATTTTGTGGTAATACTTTTCTTTCTTTAACTTAAATTGTAATTACTTTAGCATTTATATTATAGTAAATGTCAAGTTATATTTCTATGGCATAGTGATATGGTAACTAATCAAAGATACTTAACTAAGCTTTGGTGTTATACAAAATCTTTTATTCATTTATATTATTTTTTCACTTTCAAGTGATCCTAAAGTGTAACATATAAATTTGTGTATAAATTTATTATATATGTATATAAATTTATAATACATATGATACATATATCATATATATTTGAAATAAAGAAATTCTCCTATTTTATCTAAATAAAATAGGCATGAATAAATTGTCAGCATTTCATTTCTCAGCTTGAATAATTCTGCAGAGATAGATTTGGGGTTTGTGAATGTTCTCACTTACTCTATCTTGTTTTTGGAGCTAAGAATGTCTTTTCACATAGAGCAAATCTTACCACTGCACCTCAACAAAACCTTTATATTGTGTTCAACTAAAATAAGATTTGCTTATTCTTTCATTTTTACTAGAACAATTTTTGGGAATGTTTGTGTCAAGCTCTTTTCTAGGCACAGTTAACCTAGAAAGTAGACACTACCTGGCCACCATGTATATCATCTCAAACCAATCCAATGTCTTTAATGTCCAAAGATATCATGAAAAAGATAAATGCAAATCGGCATTAACTAATTTCACACAATAATCAGTAGAGCAAAAGTTAGAGCAAAATAGACTGCATTATAAACAATATTGGATGGCATCATACATGTACTTAAAAATACATGCACACACGTGTGTGTATGTATATGCACATAAGAGGGGGACCCAAAAAATTCAGAATTGTTTTTGGAGGGTGGGCCTCTTGAAGTACAGGCTTCTCCTTTTAGGTAAGTGTTCCAGAAACCCATCAGCATCAGTGTACCAGCTACCACTTTCGTGAGAGGCTGCATTCAGCTTCAGTGAATTTTTTTTTGGAGACTGTTTCAGCATATTTCCCCATTTCATAATGGGTGATTTACGAGCCCACAAGCCATCACCATGGACTAAGTTTTCAGTAGTTTTTGACCCCAAATGGCATGACCCCACTTCCTCACCCTACCTATTTACTCTGGGTGAAAAAAAGGTCCCAAAGGGAAAAGTTTTGTCAACGTGGAAGAAATGGAACCAAAAACAGCAGAAGTACTAAAAAGCATCAAAATTGACTAATTCAAAATTGTTTTGAGCAGTGGAAAAAGCACTTCAATAGCTGTATTAAATGGAGAGTAGTTTGGAGGTGACTGCAGTTAAAACATTTAAGAATAACTACACAAGTTTTAATAAATAAATTCCATTTTTTATAGAGTCCCCATTGTACATAGATATACCCGCAAATAAATATCTCTCATGAGATCACTTTTTTTAATTTCAAAAAAGCATTTTGTAAGGTGATTCAAAAAGCTTATGCTGACATAGTTTTTAGCAGAGAGATCAGTAAACTGGCTAGTGTAAATACCAATAGCTCGATTATGATATATTTGACATCATGCACTAGTCATTATAAACATAGTTTTCCCTTCCCTCAATGCTATTACTAAATCTCATGAATTTAGAAGCCTTATCCTCTGAAAATTTCTCTTTTTCATTTTAATTGTTTCTTTGCTTTTACTGTGATGCAGTAACCTAGCATTCATTTTATTTTTTCTGAACATAATTATATCATCGTTTTATAAAAGTAACTTAGTAGCTACGTATTCTTCTATATTCCCAAGTTTCCCTTGCAGTGTATATTAGCTGTGGCTAGTAAAATTTTATAAATTTTACCTGAAGGAATTAAGCTGACCCACTGCCTATAGCCCTTCTTCCCCACTTTGGTGACACTGGAAACCTCATATTACATATAAGGAAGCTAATCACATTATGATGTTAGATACAAACATTATTGCATGATTTCACTGCATGTCTAGTTGTATCATTTTTGGCTGGTGTTAAGTAGCCCAACTAAAACAGCAATTTATTTTAAAAGTTTCTATAGAATATTTTGTGTTAATATATACACACATATTGCAAAGAATAAAGAAGACAATCTCCATAAATACAGAAAATATTTTTTGGCTTTCAAAATATTCAAATGACACATGAAGTCAGTGTCTCCCAAAGTATATTTTATTTAGTACTGATCTTATAGATATTCATGAAAATAAGTTCATGTTCAAATAAATTTTTAAAATGCCACGGTATGTACTGACTCACTTCATACATCTCCTTAGAGACTGAAACTAGTATATGTAAATTTCAGATAAATGATTTCATAAATAAAATTATTTAAATTTCTATAATTCAGTGCCTATTTGATCCAAAACACTTATTAAGTTAGAACTAATAGCATATACCTAAACTAACTAAATAAACATTAGGAATACTTTAAGTTATACTTGATTATAAAAATTATAACTATATTGAAAAAGAAAAGTAATCGTACTGTATATTTTAATATGTATTTTTAAAATCATACAGTAAAATCATTTGCCAGTAAGAATGATTGTGGCTGGAACTTAATAAATTGAAATTTCTTTAGGGAAGAAGTTATATCTTATTCATCTATGAATTTTCAATGTTTTCAAAGTATTTTACATTTCATATGCTCTTTAAAATATTTATCTACCTAGGAGTGAGATATTTTTCCCTTAACATTGTCTTTCTAATCTCCTGTAAGTCACAATGATGAGTAGAAAAGAATTGAAAGTAGAACTCAGAGAAGCAGAAAACTGCTTTCCAAGTTTAAATATTGATGTGATTGGCAAGGAAATACATACCACATTCAGTGAAATTCAATTCATTTAGATTACAAACTCCTGGCTAAGCAATAATCTGATGCTCATGTTTTAAAAAAAATTATAATTGTTAGTATAAAAGAATATAGTTTTAACATTTACAGATAAGTAAAATGACATTATAAGAGATACTCTCATTTTTAACACTCTTTACATTATTGACCTTAAAGTGCCAGAAATTATTCTAAGTTTTAAACAATGAAATAAAAATTTGCAAACAGGCACGGTGGCTCAGCCTTCAATCCCAGCGCTTTGGGAGACCCAGATCAGAGAATTAACTGAGCCTACGGGTTTGAGACCAGTCTGGGCACCTTGATGAGACCTTGTCTCTACAATTAATCACAAAAACTAGCCGGGCATGGTGACGTGTGTCTGTAGTTCCAGCTAATTGCAAGGCTGAGGCGGAAGGATCGCTCAAGCCCAGCAGACTGAGGTTGCGGAGGCTGTGAGTGTACCACTGCACTCCAGCCTGGGCGACAGAGTGAGACTCCAACTCAAAAAAAAAAACCATTTTTCTTCAGAAATTTTAGTTTGCTAATGTTTAAATTATTGTTTATTGAGTATTAAACACAGTGTTGGGATTCAGTGGTTCCTCAATCTGGTCTATTATCTCTGGTCACCATTATTATTTTTAATATATGCAATTGTTTTTTATTTTACTGCCTTGCTAGTAATTGATATGATAAAAATAATTTATAGATTTCTAAAAATCTAAATCAAAAATGTTATTCTTGAATCTCTATTTTAATATTATTTATTCTAAAGAAACAACAAATTACTCTGATTATAAATGTATACAGAATAAAACATTTTAAAAATTACACAAAGTCACTTCTTGTATGTCTTAAAATTCTCTGCAAAATACATTAAATATCTGTATTTTAAAGCCATATTATATGTTTTAAAATCATGAAGAATAAGAATATCATTGATTAATGGATATTAATTATGGAGGGTATACATTTCCAAAAGCAGAAGAAATATGTTAAAGTATAAAAAAATTATTTTATATAATAAATCTCAGCATTAATTCACCAGTTAATAGATTTATAGATTTATTAATTAATTTGAAGGAATTCTCTTCTTTTGAGAGTGGCCTGAAAAGCATTATATTATTATTATTATGCTTTAAATATCATTATAAACTAGTAATATTCATGGAGATCATCAAACAAAGTTAAAATATAAGAAATTTTTTTTACATATCACTGATTTGCAAAGAGAGTGCCAACTTATTTCAAGTGTTGTATTAGAAGCATCTGGCCGAGGAAGGCAAATTAACTCACCTAATTTTTACCAGCATTTGACCATTACAACCAGTCTGTGGTACGTGATCTTTGACTCCTTAGATGTCATTTATTCCATTACAACGACAAAAATGAAACCAATTTTTAAAATGCTCAGATTCATTTGATTTCAAGAGGAAAGACCATATAAAGAAATGATATCAAACAGATACTTCCATACTAGTTTCAATAATGATTGAATTAAGTACATTCAGATATAAAAGGCTAAGTGGAATAAAAGGAGAAGGTATAGAAGTCAGGCAGTTTTCAGCCCAGAACCTCTTTAATAAAGCCAGATTGTAAAGAAGCTTAGACATAAGATTTTAGGAGTAATAAAAATCAAAGGATAAAAAATTAGGTGAAATGTCTCATCCTCGAGCACAGAATCAAGATGGCTAAATTCTTGAATTACTTGAAGCTTGAGAGACTGGCTCTTCAGAGAGCAGCGACTTGGACCTACAGGAGGCTATAATTGGAGAGGAAGAAGTTTGGGATGAATTGTGAAGACAGTTTTGGCCATCGTTTACCAGGAGTGTAATGATGGCTCACACACATTTTTCTCTTAAGAATATAATTAAAGTACAATTTGGGTGCATGATTAAAAAACATTATGCCCAGCCATAATGATTAAATGAGAAAAACCAAAGAATTGCAGTAATAAATGACAGTGGATACCATTTATTGCTGCCAGTTGCATCTTAAATAACAACAACAACACCCTACTGAGAATTAACAACCACTGCATTTCTGTTTGAGATAAGAAAATTGTGCTGTGCCACCAGTCCTATGTTTTTTAATAGTGAAGACTACATTTGAATCCAGGTCCTTCAAGTTTGTAACCCATTTTTCAAAAACGCAATTTATTATCTTCCCTTGATAAGGCAAATTTTTCTTTTCTTTTTTTTTTTGAGTTGGAGTCTCACTCTGTTGCCCAGACTGGAGTGCAGTGGCACGCTCTGGACCACAGTAGCCTCGCCCTCCTGGGCTCTGGCGATCCTTCCACCTCAGTCTTCCAAGTAGCTGGAATCACAGACGCGCGCTACCACGCCCGGCTAATTTTTTGATTTATTGTAGAGATGAGGTCTCGTCAAGTTGCCCAGGCGGGTCTCGAACCTGCGGGCTCAGGCAATCCACTTGCCTCGGCCTCCCAAAGCTCTGGGATTACAGGCTGACCCATGGAGTCCGGCCAAGGCAGTTGTTTTTATAAATACTTTTATTCCAACTTAAGCAGGATTTCTTATGAAAACTATACTCAACTGAGATTGTTTATATTTCTTTGATTTAATTTTATACTCCTAAATGCATTTTAGTTCATTGCAATGCAACTTGGTGGCTAAATATCAATAATAAATAAAACTGATGAGAAGTTATAAATATTTGTAATGGTAGCAGGTTTACAAAAGAATATTGAAATATAATAAAGTGCAAACATTGAAAGCCAGATGAAAAGGTAATTATCGAAACTAATGTTAGTCAACAAATCTAATAAAAATCAAACAAAATTGTCACAACGATATAAAAAGGTTGAATTTGTACCTTCTTCTCTCCATAATATGTTTGCTACTGCAGCATGTTAAAAAGAAAAAAAGAAAAAGAAGTAAGGAGAGTTTTAGTTACATTACATAACTACTAAAGATGACAAAAACTCTAGGACAGAATATGTATGCTTAATTCAACAGGTTACTCTAAATTAACAAAACAATTAAATGTTAAGACCAACTATTAATGTTCTATGCATTTCTTGAAATAAAATTATTTAAAATAAAAACTGTGTTAAACAAATAACATCCTATGCATCACTGAAAAGACTATATGTTAGATTACTGAAAAACATTTTTAGAACATGCATTTGTAGTTAAACTATTTAGTTAGCTGACAATTTAGTTAAAAGTTAAATAACAAAAGTTATACCATCAAAATTCTCCATAATCACAATATGTAATATGTCTTCATAATATAAAATATTCCTGAACAAGAACAGTTCTTGTAAATACAAGATCTTGAACACAGAAATGGCCTGCTTTTAAGTAGTATATGTTTTCAGTGTTTAAACCAGACATAAAGAAATTATATGTTAAATATGTATTGCTTATTTTAGTGGATACTGAATTTTTCTTGAACAATAGGTTTATTAAATATAGCAACTAAATCAATAGACAGTTAAAATATTAAGATAGAATAAAGAAAAAAAAACTCATTGAAAATATTCTCAGGGAACTCCCCATCACTTAGATAATTCAAATTTACATAAACTCTACATATTTTCAAAGTAAAATATGTAGAAAGAAAATGTAACTAATGGACACAGTGAATTGCTCCCTGAATATTTTGAGCATATTAAAGCATAATCACTTTTATTTTCAGTAAACCTACATGTGTATGTAGCAAGGGCAAAAATAGAGTCTGACATTATTTACTTAAGGCTTAAGTCCCAAGTCCTGCAGTTTCCAGCACCTGCTATATTCCTTTTAAAAATAATTAAAATAATTTTTGTGGTTTTTCAGTGTATTTAATTTCTTAATAATTATTCAAATATAAATAAATTATATGTACATCCTCTTAGCATATTTTGTGCTGTTCTTGTGCCTGCAGTGTGCTTGGAACAAATATTTAAAGAATACAAATTTTCTGTTATAAGATGAACAAGTTCTAGAGATCTAACACATAATACGGGTGGCACTGGATGTGTTAATTTGTAATAATCATTACATATAGTATGCATATATCAAATGATCACCTTGTACACCTTGAATATATGCATTATATACTTGCCACTTAGATGTTTTAAGATAATGGAAGGACAAATCTTATTCTCTATTACAGTCTATAGACACAGGGGAAAAGAAAACCATGGAAATAAATAGGTATAACCATGTATGATAAACAATATAGAAGAAGCAAATTCCAAATTCAGCAAATATGGGCAAGACAGAAACTTTGAGGGGAAGATACTGGGTTGTGGAGGGACGGCTTCAATAAGGTGGTGATACTCAAGAAAGATAATATGACCCGTGCTTACAAGAGAGTTGTAAAGTGTGGGGGGTGAGAAAGGTTATTCTACACACAAGGAAAAAAAAATGTTCAAAGCATACTAGCCATTATATCAGAATATATTCAGAGACTTTCAAGTAATTTGAAGGGGAAAACTGATAGACAAGAGGGCTAAATAGTTTTTTCATGATAAAATCATGTCTTTGTTCACAATGCAAAAGAAATTTAATTTTATTTTGTAGGCTCAGGACAGGTTGATCCATGATTAGACTTATCATTCATTCTCTGGCTTATAGAGAAGGCAACTAAGTATATGTTTCCTAATATCTCCATCTACTTAATGAGTACCAACAGAGTACATAGCATGCGTTAAGATATTGTATTCAGCACTACAACACATAAATGAAAAGACCCCAATCTGTGCTAACAGAGCCTCTATACTAGCTGCGGAGACTAAAAGTATTCAAAATGATAGCAGAAAACCATTCACAATCACAAATATAATGTGTTATGAAAGAGAGGAACACATTAATGTGATTTTTTTTTTTTTTTTAGTAAATTAGTCATAGTCATTGAAACTGAGGGAAACTTCCCTAATTATGATTAACATGAAGTCTGAAGATGAAATAGAGTGAACTAAATGAAGATTGTAAGGGTTAGATTTCCAGATACAGTGAAATGCAAGCACAAAATTCCAGTGGCATATCAAAACATTGCAATTCTCAAGGACTAAAGACATTAAGAAGACCGGGCGTGGTTGCTTAGCCTATAATCCCAGCCTTTTGGGAGGCCGAGGCGAGAGGATTGCCTAAGCCTGGGAGTGCAAAAACAGCCTGGGCAACTTGGCGACACCTCGTCTCTACAATAAATCACAAAAACTAGCCAGGCGTGGTGGTGTGTGTCTGCACTTCCAGTTCCTTGGAAGGCTGAGACAAAAGGATCACCTAAATCCAGGAGTTATTAGGTAAAGGATAATGCTTAGACTTAACTGATGCATTATTGAGCAAGACAGATGAGAGACAGAAAGAGAGAGAAAGGAGGAGACTAGAAGGAGGAAGAGAGTAACAGAGGAAGAAAGGGATGTCTGTAGTTAAAATATAAAATTTAATGTACATTTGCTTGCTACTAAATTTGATAATCTGAATTTTATTAAAAAATATCTAAGGAAATGCAAATTTCCAAACTGAACATGAGTGTGCAACTGCACTACAGTCTGGGCGACAGAGTGAGACTCCAACTCAAAAAATAAAAAAATTAAAAGACATTGGGACTACAGACAGAGAAATTTTTAGGATAGGCAAGCATTTATGACTGAATACCAAAAAATATAGTCTGCAATACTAATATCAGATAAGGTAAAATTGAAGGCATTACATATTAAACTTAAAATTGCAAAAGCCAAAAACACAGTATTAAAAATGAGACAAAAACTGTTAGGATTGAATATGAAATTAATAAATTCACAATCACATTCTGCTTCTTAACAAATCACTCTCAGTGTTTTGAAGATGAAAGAAAAAAGAAAATTTCAGCAATACAATTATTAAGATTGAACTACTATATTTATAGTAAATATTCTCCTAAACAAGTGAACAATATTTTCAAGTTTTATTGAAAGATTTTAAAGAGTGACTGCAAAGTAAACTATGAAATAAAAAGTCTTTCTTTATTCTGTAGGTATATTCTAACAAGCAGAAATTGTTTAGGCATTTTCAGAAGACAATGAAGTACAGATGCAAATATACAAGTGTCTAAACCCCAATTTATTCAACAATAAATTAAATATTTTAAAAATCAAATATAATCACTACTTATATTAAACAAAAAAAGAGAATCCAAAATTTAGACCCAATGGGTCTTAGCTAAATGATAATGCATAGACTTAACTGATGCATTACTGAGCAAGATCGATGAGAGACAGAGAGAGAAAGGAGGAGACTAGAAGGAAGAAGAGAGTAACAGAGGAAGAAAGGGATGTCTGTAGTTAAAATATAAAATTTAATGTACATTTGCTTGCTACTAAATTTGATAATCTGAATATTATTAAAAATGTCAAAGGAAATGCAAATTTCCAAACTGAACACAAGGAAGACTCAATAAAAACAACCATGGTTCAGATTGAAATATCTAAAAAAATAATTTCCATCCAAAATGTTCCTAGGGTCTGAGATTATTACTATGAGTATTTATTAATTGTCAAGATTGACATAATTCCAAATGTATTCAGTATTGTTAGAATATAGTTCAAGATGAAAATATTGTTATTCACTTTACAAAATCAGTAAAATTAATGCCACTATCTGGTAATAGTAAAAGAGCAAAAGGAATTACATTGCAGGTTTGCTAATGGCCAAAACTGTAAATAAAACACAAGTAAAATTTACCAGGATAATAAAAGATTTATCACAAACAGTAATCATTCTGAAATGGAAAAATAATTTGGCAAAAACTTAGCTAATAAACTGATTAATTTAGCACTTCACATTAATATATCACATGAGAACCATTATTATAATTTAAACAACAAAAATGCAACGTGAAATAGTGCATGACATAGTACTATGTGTGAAGTAAATCTCTTAGTTAACTGACAAGATAAGAATAAAGGCATATTTAAATTAATGAAAAATTAACAAGCACTAGAATAATAAATGATCGAAATTGTGTTACATACAAAGATACAAGATAAATATCCAAAATTTTATATTTGTCTTATGTAAGAAGTATAAGACGCAATATAAAATTTTATTTAAAGGAGCCTAAAAGAATACTATATTAATGACTTCCTAGAATGTGAAAAGTATGGAAAAGCAAGTGTAACATTCACTAAAAAATGTGCTAGAGGGGAAACTAATAATTCCTAAAAGAAGAGAATAAGTATTATAAGGACAAATTCATTCTAAAGTTTGTTAATTTAAAAATTGCATGCATTGTTATGGTCTGTTTAGAGCAGATTCTTTTTATTGCACAAAGTTAGAATGCACATGAAACTAAAAATAATACCTGATATTCAATTACCCTCGTGTAATAACATATTTCTTTTTAATATGTCTTTATTATTTTTCTTATTTTTATATAAATGCCTACATCAAGTTATTTCTGATACAATATTTAGGTACATAATATGTCAATATAAGCTTGGGGAGTGTGGGGCATGGAGTCATGCCATTTTTGGTCAAAAACTGATGAGCACACAATGTGGCGGGGCAGGTTGTTCTTGTAAATCATCCATCATGAAATGTGCAAAAATGTTGAAAGAATCTCCAATAAAAGATTGATTGAAACCTAATGCAGGCTCTCACAACAATGCTAACTGTTACACTGATGCCCATCAGTTCTTAGAACACTTACCTGGCAGGGGAAGCTTGTACTATAAAGGACCAGCTTCCAAAAAGATAATTCTGGTTATTTTGGGATCTTCTCTCATATGTCATTTTATATACATATAAGAAATGTATATATTTTTAATTAGTAATTATATCAAAAGCTTGCAAATATTTTTTTTTAAAGACTTTTAACTTCTCTTTAAATCCTTCACTCATTACTTTGAGTAGGATGTTGCTATTTATATA